TCTGAATGTTTGGCATCGGAATTTGTTGCTATTCACGACCTGTGTCACTAACCACTACCCCTGGCAAGCTATAATAGGATTGTAATAACAATAATTAAAACATACCTGCGCATGCAAGGATAAGTATTGCCTCGTTTTGTAACTGAGAGTCGTGACTTTAAACTCTTCAAATGTCCCTTGATGTTCTTTGTAAAGCTTGAAAGGATCACGCTTTGTTTGCTTTGGGTACGGTAACGACTTATCCCACAAGAACTGTCTTCCAGCCTGGAAAAGCTACACGAAGCCATGCTGAAGTCGCAACATGATAGACTAAACGTTTTGAAAGATCGATTTACTAGCCTGCGTGCAGTCTCTACGGGGGAGGAAAATTAAGGAAAGTAATTGTCCATCCCCCTTAAAGACTCCACGCGGGCTACCGATTTATCAGCTCTTTTTTAAAACATGTTATGATTGTTATCTGACACCGGGCGGCTTTCTATGTGAAAATATAGTCAATTTTGCAATAATGGACATTTATTTCAAGTCAAATGTCAATAAATATAATTTCTGGTGATTTTTTAAATAATCAAAATGCGACTTGGCGATTGTTACGTAACGTCATTTTTGACATTTGTAGTGCAAATGTCAAGGGCTCTAAAATTTGATTTTTTCAGTAGCCCAAAAATGTTATTACAGTTTCTCAAAGAGGAAACGTTGTTGTTTAATCTTGTTAAAATCTTATTGCCTCAAGGCATGTAGCAATATGCGTTTTTCGGTGTTGAAATAAAGCAATATTTTCATATGTGAAAAATCACCCAGGTTTAAAACTTCCGAAAATATCGGAATTCCAGTCAGTGTCCGAATATAAAACGGGAAATTGTCGAGAAATGTCTGTTATTTCGTAATATTATTGTAGTTATTGAAATACTTCAACGCTAAATTTTTTAACGACTTTTTTATGAGGTGCGGTGAATGGGCCTTGAAATTAGCTTGTCAGCTGTGAAAAGAGAAAATCGGCCCGTTCTCCTGAAATAAGAACCTGATGAAGTTTTTAGTATTTTTTCCTTGAATAGTTCATCTAGGCGTACATTAGGGCCGAAAAAGAAAAATTTCAATATTTTCTATATTGCACACCTTTGGTCGATTTTTACAGACGGCCGCTCTTAAATATTGATCATGTGATGCTTGCTTGATATAATTATTAATTTCATTAAAAAACTAATGTTGTGCACTTGTGAAACTTATGAAAAAATATAATTCAGTGTATTTTCATTAATTGCCTTTTTTATAATTGTATTATATATTTGATTATTAAAAATACTAGTTATATTATTATCATGCGAGAATTTGAAATCATTTTATTTCAAACTCAAAGTTTATCGATAAAAGGCAGTTTATAGCTAAAACGTTTTTCGAAACGTTTGCATGCTAGTTGAATTTTACGTTAATTTTAAATTGAAGATTATGATTGTTACGAAAGTATATCTAAATAGTATAAAAATAGTTCAGTTTGCACCCCAGGTAATTATATATATTAGTTACGTCAAATGGAGAGATAATGAGAATTTTTGCTGTAAAACGCAGATAAAGTATATATCATTTCGGACTTGTGTAAAAGTGTCAATTATCTGTCCCTTAGGCAAGATAAATAATTTGTCAATTTGTCAAAGTTGGACGATAACCTTGCATGATGGGCTGTTGTGTTTGCATAATTCAAAGTCCAAGGCTGGTTCTTCTTTGACATGGAAAATGTGCATGCTTAGGCCTTTCTGTCAATCATTCTTCGGTATATTTCACGCGGTTGAGTAATGATAACATTACGTCATCAAAATCTTGGTTCAATAAAATTGTAAGTAAATTTAGGTTAGTAGGTAAAGTAAGGTTCACAAAGGTATAGGTTGAAGTTTTTACTATGATATTTTGATAAGTATTTTAAGTTGTGAACATATTTTAATATTGATTGATTGAACAGCGAACCGACTCGACAAGTGCGACAGCGCCTTAAATAAACAGAATTTGAGGGCTGGAACGAGCTAGCTCCGCAAACCACACTTTTAAACCTCAACGTTGATTGGCTGGATACAAATCACACCACTTGCTACATCACGTCACAGAGTAGAGACATACAGAGACGTAACTAGTGTACCCACTTTTTTTGTGCGCATGCTCGGCAAGTTACTAGATGCATGCATCTGATTGGATGACGACCTGATGACGACTCACTTTAAACTTGCTGAGCACGCGCAGTTGATCATTTTTCGCCCGGTCGCCTGAAAAAAAGTGGGTACATGATAACGTAATCTTCCGCAGTGTTTTTAAGGGTTAGTTACGTCTCTGTATGTCTTATATACTCTGTGATCACGTGTACAAAGATCCCCTCAACCGTTAGTACAAAAGTGCGTGCACAACCGAAATTCGTCAGTGGATGATCTTTCAGTGGATGATCTCTCAGTGGATTCTCAGTGAAGTGAACTTTAGGAAACTACTGCAAGAAGACGAACATTAAGAACTGATAGTTATTTAAGATTGTTGTAACGATTCACTACCTAAATAAAGCCTCGTAACATTATGTTACGCATAATAACAAACCTAACAATTATACTTGAGAAATTAATGATTTTGTAAGTAAAAGTGATATATTCTGGGATTCTAATTCTTTTTCAATTTGAAAACTATAAAAGAATAATACAATCGTGTCACCATGAGAACCACTTCAAATACTTCATGTTTGGAAAATATAGTGGTTTTACTAACACGGCGATGTGTTTCTGCAAAGTGTTTTGTGAATACTTTCCTCACTGTTTCTAAATAACATTAAAGAATTTCTAAAATTTATCAATTTACCCAGAGCCAGTGCAATGCGTGGCGTCATTTTTTCGTTACGTAGCATCAATTTCAATACCGCGATTGCAGGTGCTCAGCCTTCAGGAAGGAGCAGTATTTCAAGTTAAAATAACATAAAATAACGCAAAGTCCGAAAAATGCATGAAGTATGGCATTAGGATTTTGTTTTCATTTATATTTTCTTTAATTTTCTCCTGGATATGGATTGTGTTAAAATATGTATGATAACAAAATGGTTCTTTGATTTAAAAAAGTAGTAAATCGGTGTACTCACACATCACAAGCAGTGGAATAAGTTCGTTCTTGTATCGCTTCAATCGATAGCCATCGGAATGGAATTTTCCCGTTAGATTTTTTTATGTATGTTCCCTCGCGTGACAAGCCAAAATCTGATATTTTTAAAACTTTGTCTTCACCAAGTAGTATGTTCCTTGCTGCCAAATCTCGGTGAACAATACCAAGACCAGAAACATGTTTCTAAAAGAAAAATATAAAACGATATATTATTTCCCGACATTGGTTGCTTGACTGACTTGAATGTAGTTATAGTTGAGTGGGTCCATGTAGGGACCAATACAGAAGTCTTATTAATAGTATGAAAGTATCTGAAGAGTTATGTAATAATATAATCTTGACCATTACGGACAACAAGTATGATGACATTGATTCAGGAAATTTGTTACAGTCCAGTACATGTAATCTGGTTTGGGAGATAAAAACATTATATGTAGTTAGATACAGGTAGCCTATAAACATAAAATTATATATAATATTGTAAACATGCAATTTACCATTCCAGTAGCAATTTGACGAGCAAAGGATTCCAATTCTTTGGGGTTTAAAGCAACTCGAATTTCCTCGTTTATTCTTGAGGCAATCTCGAAATTTAAATCTAAAATATAATACAATTTGACATGGAATTTTACGTGAAGCGCCGTTCATTGAATCAGCTGTTACATGTACGTTTAAAATGTTGATGAAAATTTAACATTAATTAGTTACAACGCAGATCTACGGCTAGTTTATCGATTTCTTTATTTTGTAAGTAGATTTTTTTTTGTTTGTTCGCATATATTTTCTCAAGAACGAATAATGAATAAAAAAATGTTCACATGCTATTAAACATAATTTAAAATCGGTATGGAATTAATGCACGAGATACAGTATATCATACATTAATTATTATTATATAGTAGTGTAACCATTTTTTCTACAAATTAATACTATCACGAGAAGCATAACTAGCTGCAAATATTGCCGTTGGCAGAATTTAATATTCTTTTCTGCCCAAAAATGTAAAAACAACAAAATTATCCATTCAAGTCAGATCTTTCAGAATCTTGCTCAAAATGCAGAAAAATGCCTTTTCATAAAAATATCGAAATTTTTTGAAATATCGAATATTAGATATGTATGGAATTTTTGGAGGAGCATGACCAAACCAAATAGATCTTTCTCCGCAAGTGACTGAAAAGATATACGTGCATGCATGTATGTTCATGCCTCACCTAAATTTCACTATTATTTGCAATTTCTGTCGTAATTACCTTCAGCTTGTTTTATTCCTGTTTCTTCCAACTTGTGCTGTTCACTTGCATTAACAAGAGTTGAAGATGTTGAATCTTTTGGCATTTCACCTGCCCCAATCCCAAATTAAAAATGTAAAAACAACAAAATTACCCATTCAAGTAAGATCTTTCAGAATCTTGCTCAAAATGCAGAAAATGTCTTTTCATAAAAATATCGAAATTTTTTGAAATATCGAAAATTAGATATGTATGGAATTTTTGGAGGAGCATGACCAAACCAAACAGATCTTTCTCCGCAAGTGACTGAAAAGATATACGTGCATGCATGTATGTTCATGCCTTACCTAAATTTCACTATATATTATTTGCAATTTCTGTCGTAATTACCTTCAGCTTGTTTTATTCCTGTTTCTTCCAACTTGTACTGTTCACTTGCATTAACAAGAGTTGAAGATGTTGAATCTTTTGGCATTTCACCTGCCCCAATCAATTTTTGATATCCGACCTGAAATATTTACAATTCGGTATATGTAAATTCAATTGTAATCTATGTAAGCACAAAGACGTTAAAGAGACCTGCATTCTAATATTAAAATATATATGAATACATATATTTGTTTTCTCAGGTGCACTTTAATTGGTAATTAAAATAACAAAAAATTGCGTTATTGTAACTAGTTTTTCAATTGTTTAACTATAAATATATTGGTCAAAATAGAAATTAATGCATCTAAGACAAGAAATTGTTTATCTTAACTAATCGGTTTTTACAGTGTGGTAAGCGCTATAACAAAAGACATTTTGATTTAAGGTTTGGTTTCTCACATGCAGTTAGAAACTTAATTGTAATAAGTTGTTGTGACATTCAAATGAGTGTCGAGTAAATGATTTATTTCGCATGTGTTTTATTCATGTATACGATTTTGCTTCTGCATAATTTTCTCATGTATATATCAATTAAATTTTTTTTAAAAGCTTTAACCAGAGTATCAATCTTTCTGAATGGAAAAGAAACGATGAGACAAAAATTGGTTTTGAGCTCCGCACCCTTTAATTGCCACACGTTTCAATTACAAACAGATTTATTTCCTCCGCACAAGCACTCATATATTTAATATATTCTGTTCGTCAACCAGCGTAACATCCAGATACCGAATGTTGAACATAAACTTGAGGAAATCAACAACCTGTATCCGGCCCTTTTCTCAAAGTCGAGAGCCTGGCACTCAGGCAAAGAAATTCTTGACGTTAGGGGCAATTTAAGCTAAAACTTAAACCGGAATATTTTAAACTACTGTATATAAATTAAAGGAAAATTAGAATTAGTGCATTTTGTTGACAAAATATTATACCTTGACAGATTTTGTGACTTCATTCGTCCGCGCGCTTGCAATATCTTTACACTTTAAGAAAAAATATATGATAGTATAATAAGTATATAAATTTAAACATATTATATTTTTTGTTCTTCAAAAAGCCGACAACGCATCGAAGGAACATTCCTTTCCCAGGAATATTTAATAAAAGAATGAAGAAATATAAACAAATACATTTTAGATGTAAGAATACAACTACACCACATCTCTAGTGTGATCAGGTAATCGGATCACTAAAGAACATGGAGAATTTTCAAATGATCTCTTAAACTACGTGAAACTTCACCTACTTTTGTGAAAATATATGAAGAACTTCCGATTTTATGAAAAAACACAAATATTTCGGAAAATTTTAATTTTAAAAACTACTAAGTGCAACGGGAAGTTCTTACTAACCACCTTAAAAATGGCTTACGCATCAAAATGGAAGATTCCGCGTTGCACCCATTACTGGCACTTTGATAGGCAATTACCTACTTTTTAAGAGATCTCAGATAATTTTTCAAATTTCCGCCGGGCGCGTATTCCAGGACTAAACATATTGGACGACATCTTATGCAACAACCAAACATCTGAATGACATTTTCATGTTTTCCAAGGTCCTTCATCAACTCAATTTCATGTAAGATACCACTAAGTTCTTCTTCACTGGCAGATTCTATATAATATTTGTTCAATTTATCGAGATTAGCTGATTCCTCAGAAGCCGATACCTGAATGACACCATGTTTTAATGTAGTCATTGCAAATGTATGTGTAAGTACGTTTTTAATTTGTATTGTTGACGAAATATTGCCGACATATAGACGAATGTTTGGAAATTACTTCCATTATATAATTCATTTTAATTATGTGAAAACACCATGATAGTTTTAATTGGTAGCTCTCGATGCAATCACCTGTACTTTCATCTAGTCACAGTTAATAAAATAAGATGGCTTGGCTTGACAAGTGTTGTGTCAGTTGGGGTCTGAGGTAGGCGATTGATTGCCTCGATGCTGAATGACGATGGCCTGTTTAGAACCGACCCGAAGTGCTCTGCCCACCTATCAAGAATGCCAGGCTTGTCTATGATAAGTTCGGTTCCATCAGCAGAGAGCAGTGGTGATGTACCAGCAGGCTGAGGTCCATGCAGTGTTCTAACAGCTTGATAGAAGCGTTTGGAATTGTGGGTGTCTGCGTACCCTGGATTTCAACGGCCCTTTGACTGAACCATCTGTCCTTCATATGTCTCAATTCAGTCTGGACAGTCTGCTTTACTTTGTGTAAAGCAGCTGTGTTGGCTGGAGTCTTGTTTGAAAGGTTTAGCTTTAAGAGTCTGTTCTTCGTTTCAAGCAACTTGTCTATGGCCTCATTGTTTTCATCAAACCAGTCGTGATGAGAGTGTGTTTTAGGACCCAGTATGTCACTGCATATCGAGTGTACAGTATTCTTGAAGTCTGCCCAGTCCTGCTCAATGTTGCCAGAATTCAAGGGCAATGACTCAAGTTTCTCATCCAACTCACTAGCGACTTTCTGCTTGACGTTGACATTATTCAGCTTGTCAATATTCAGACGCTTGGGTGGTTTCTTCCCCTGTGGACGCCTAGGTGGTTGAATATGAAAGTTGAGTTTGCATATGATGAGGCGGTGGTCTGTCCAGCAATTTGCTCCACACATTGACTTCGTCACTCGCACATCATTCCTGTCTCTAGTTCTGACAATGACATAGTCGATGAGGTGCCAGTGTTTTGAGCGTGGGTGCATCCAAGTGGTTTTATTTCTGGTTGGCAGCAGGAAGAGTGTATTTGTGACACCAAGGTGGTGCTCGGCACACAATCTAAGGAGGAGTAGACCGTTGCTGTTGCATGATCCAACGCCGTGCTTCCCAATGGCTCCGCCCCACGTTTCTACATCCGACCCGACCTGGGCATTAAAGTCCACGAGAACCACTAGCTTGTCTTGTTCGGGTGTGGAAGCGATTATAGTGTCGAGTTCCTCATAAAACTTGTCCTTGATGTCATCTGGGTTTGTCATGGTAGGGGCATAGCAACTAACAATGGTAGCATTTCTCTTTCCCTTCAGTTGAAGAGTAAGCGTCATGAGGCGATCGTTGACCCCTTTGGGTAGGCTAGTTAGCTTGCCTATTAGGTCGTTTTTGATAGCGAAGCCAACTCCCGACTCACGGCGTTCATCGTTCCCACGCCCACTCCAAAAGATGGTGTATCCGGCTTTTGGCTCTCTCAGTTTCCTTCTTCAGCAAAACGAGTTTCACTCAGAGCAGCAATGTCAATTTTGTATCTTGATAGCTCCTTTGCTACGAGTGCTGTTCTTCTTTCCGGTCTATTCGCATCATCTTTGTCTAAGAGTGTTCGAACGTTCCATGCGCCGACTGTGATCGGTATCTGTTTGTTGTTTTTCGTGTATTTCGACCGCATGGTGGGGATCCCTGCCAGTCGCGGTAAACTAGCCCGGGTTAGTTGAGATAGAGAATGTTTGGGGAACCTTTTCTAGCCCCCTCTCCAGGTTACGGGGTGAGCAGGTAAGGCGAAATGGTACACTGTTTCAGATGAGCCTGTGAAGAAACGTCAGAAAAAGAAGTGACTAATGTCCTATTACTAGAAGTGACTGTTACTAGTTGATTACGATAATATTAAATTGATATACTCAGTGTTGTATAGCCAGCCCGACAACTTGGTCATGCTATGCGAATATTTCCGTCTTCATAGGCCGTGAAAACAATCGATTTCTGAAGAACTGAATAATGATAATGATTTGATATTTGGATAGCATGACCAAATGGTCGAGCTGGCTGCGCCACTGGATATACTGTCTGCTGAGAGCACTGTCCCTGCTCATATCATCAGAAGTTTCATTCCTGTCAGACCTTGTATAAATTCCCAACAGGCATTTATAGGCTAATTCAGATTATAATATCTGTCCAATCCAGATAATTTTACTTGTCAGTGCCTCAGTGCTTAAGCTTCCGCTATGGACTAACAAAACTATCATTAATGTCAGTCAGTGTCTAGTGTTAACCTAGTAACTCTTAATGTGCCAAGATGCACACTATTTTGATATTTTACTGACAGTTAAAATACTCATTAAAATTCATAAACCTTGTAGCAAATCATGTCAGCCATAATATGTCACGTGAAGCGACATTATATCTTCATTAGTATTCTTAATATATTTCTTCATCCTAATTAGTATGATTATATAATTGTTCATCCTAATTAGTATTGTTTTGTAGTCGTATTTTAAGCTATTCAAAACACTCGAACTCGCGTTTTATCATATCTAAAACGCTCGGCTGCGCCTCGCGTTTTAAATATGATAAAACACTCCTCGTGTTTTAAATAGTATTTAATCGGTTTTTGGAACTGCTTGAATTTAGTTGATATGAACATGTATGTTTTAGGTCTAAGTACTGTCTGTTTTTATATCAATATTCTTTGCCCAGTATATGAGGTTTGATAGGTTTAAGTTGGGGGATTAGAGAGGTAGTGGGTTAAAGGGTCAGAATTGACTTGGATGATGTGCAAATTGAGCAACTGCATGTCCTGAAATGTCCCAAATAGTCATTCAATTCTAACCAAACTCCTTTTGGCCAAAGGTGTGAAAGGAGGGTCACTGGCGCCTTAAAACCAGTTTGCTCATTTTTCAGCCTCCCCAAGGCTGTCCTTGTCCAGAATCATGTTTTCCATCAAGTGTGGTAGTATGTTTCCTAGGCATACTGATGAGCCCTGATATTGGGCGAAACAGTCTCGGCTCATATAATTATTTCCTACCAGTAGTACCATCATCTTGCAAATAAATTAGTATCTCAAATCTATTTAGATAGGGGGGAGGTCAAAAAGATTTTCCGTACTAACATAAGCAAAGCTTAAAATTTTTCCCAACTAACATTAGAAAAAAGCTTAAAATTTTCCCCCAACATGCATATGCAAACCTTTTAAATTTCTAAAATTTGAAGCAATAGCAGTCAACCAGTTTTGCCGATAAAAGATTCATTTGCCAACAGCAGCAAGTGGTGTCAAACACACCCCTTTGTGATCGCCCTGCATATTGCTATGTTAAATTTGTATATTGTACACAAAACAGCTAAATAGCTTCTTATAGCTTCTTATGAACATAAATTAATGAGCCCTATTCAAATGATCTGACTTCTACTAAAATGTATAGGTATCCACGCATATTGACTTTTTCTAACCTGGTGATATGGCAAGCACCCATTGCCCAATCCTATCCCATACCTTGCCTGTGCCCTAGTATTATCCCCAGGGGTCCAGTGTGGGGTTTTAATTATTGGCTACATTAAAATAATTTTTGGCGTGGTGGACAATCACATAAATTATATCAATTGTTGTGCAGTTGGCACATTTATATAAATTCAGGCACTGATATTATTATAAGTATTTTAAAATTTATTTAATTGTATGTACAAAAGTATGTTTATCAAAGGATCATAAAGTCAAATTCACTTTCTTTCTTTTTAAGCCCTTTGCTCTTTTTTGCTTTTTGCTGGATTTTGAACTTACTTATGTAGCATAAGAAAAGCTACGAACCCTTAAATAGAGTTTGTCTATATTCTCCAAGCAACGTTTATTTGTTCATTTGCCAATATTATTACAACATCCTTGCAATATATTGTCCCAAAGAGATTTTAACAATGGCGAGTCAAGTGCATCATTGCATAATTTGTCACAAGGAATTGCTCTTGAGAACAGTGGGCTGTTTCCCTATAAACTGTCTGAATGAAATCTCTACAACCTCTAGTAGCTTGACCAAATCATCACATGGTGTAACCAGACCTCCTCGACTGCGTGCCTTATAATGTATGCATTTTCCAAACCAGAACTGATCATATGTTCTAAAATGATTTGAAGCTCATCATTTACTTTGTTTTTGGACTTTTTCCTCAGATCTGACAGCACATGCATACCCTGCTATGTTGGACAGGAGTCCACGTTCATTCTCAGTTCTGAAGAAATTTCAGCCTGTCCACTGCCTGTAGTTACACCTTTCGACATTGTCACTAAATGGTCTCGTATTGAAATAATTATAAGATTGCATAATTGTTGATTTTCAGACTGCAATAGGCAAGTTTTCGACAAGTTTAGTTTTCGACAAAATCGTTCATAAATTGGCAAAATATTATCGTATAGTGAATCGTTCGATGTTATGCTTGCTTCGAAGTCATTTCACTCTCCCAGAAACTATCATACTTTATTTTTGTCTTAACTTTATCAACAATGGATTTTAACTTCTCTTTTGTTAGCGATGAAGAAACATTTTCTTCACCGCTGTCGTTTTGTTCCCATATTTTGCATTTTTGTGTCCTGTCAAGCCGCCTTTCGACTTGCAAATCTTGTCACGACTTTCGCAAGAAAAGTTCTTTTCGCCTAATATTTCGCTCACAGCGTCTATGATCTCTTCTTCTATAATTGCCTCGTTTTCATCAATAAAAAAACAACGCGATTTCAAATTTATAAGGTAAATTGAATATCCTCACGGGTATCTTCATGTTCAAATACTCGTCAACGTTGCTCGAACAACTTTCGCGTTTCAGTTCCCAGGGAATCGATACAATCGCCTCTAAATCGTTGCCCATAGCCCTAGCTATGATATAACTTTAGTTTAGGATAAAAAATAAGTGTTATTAGCGCAGTTATTTCGCGATGAAAACGAGAACATTGGAAACTGTAATATAATCATATAGTAATTGGTCTACTACATTGCTATGCACTAAAACCGTTTACATTGATCCTCACATAGTTTACCGCCGTCACCAAATCCCTTTGAAGTTTGCCGGCTAGCCAAACCATCTTATTTTATTAACTGTGATCTAATGATTAAGAATGGGTAATTGATTAGTGTTTTGAGATTGATAACTTCATAGCAACCAGGCACACCAGAAAAACGTTTTTGTAAACATTATTTACTCGAGAGTTGACGTCATCTGCTAATAATACAAACTGTAAAATTTCTTTGGTGCATGCGCGCGATAGCTAGCATACGCTACGGTTCTGGGAAATATAACTATTGCTAGCATATATGAAAATGATCCGTGCGTATTCTCACACGAACATGCGGCAAACAATTATATTTATTTAGCAATAACAGTAAATTAGTTGATCTGTGGTCTTAACCTGTGAGTGTTTTGATTGCAACGGTTGTCCATTCGGGATTTCTATTGACTCCTTGGGCTTCACCAACATATACTTTGCCAAATTCTCCTCTACCGACGATACCACTAAATCGTATAGAACCAGCAGGCATCTCAAAAGAACACACTTTTTCCGCTATATATCCTGGTATCTCGTAAACATAATCTTGCGAAACATATATTAAATTATCCACTCTTTCACTGTTGTCATCTTCCAACGTAATCTGGTTAATACTAACATAAAAAAAATACTGAAATTAGACTGCTTGCCGATGCCCCCTGGGGGCGAAATATAATCGCCCTCCCGGTGGGCAAAATTCCAGGGAAACTCGTCCCCCTTTAGAAACTTCACTTTTTCATTAGGATTTTCGTCCTCCGTTCACAGTTTCGCCCTAATTCCTAACAGTTGCATAGTATGGCATAAGATAATTATTACTTGACTTTGATAATTTGAAGTCAATATCAATTCAAAATTGTTAAAAATGCAAATTTATAATTACATATATCGAAAGGGCTCACAGTAGATCAATAGGACTTTTCGTACGCTTCACATGCAGCACGCCATGCATAAATTATTCATTGACATTGAAACGCTATGAAAATTCAACAGGCTGTCATGGGTCATAAACTTAGCTAAACAATTCAATTTTTACAGAAGACGAGCGATCTGTTATTTAGCTTTTCTATGATACTTTTTAAAATCGTAACGATGAGAAATTGCCGGTCGAAATCACATTTTCCACCATTGGGTATTGAAAATACATTAATTATGCGCAGCTAGTCAATCCAAAAGCAACGTGAGCCTGCTGCAAGCTATTTGTTTCGTAAAAGGTTTTTATTACGAATGTTCTCTGTTCAGGGATTAAATGAATCATGTTTAATGACCTTCTTATTGAGTTATTATCTCAATAAGACGAAGATTGACGAGTCGAGCTAATTTAACATTCAATTTTAATTCCCTCTTGGTAATCGTCTGGAGGAACGTGGTTTCGACCGGCAATTTTTATTTGACGAGTATGTGGCCATTTCTCATCGTTACGATTTAAAAAGGGTACCATTGCAAAGCTAACTAACTGTTCTTTCGTCGGTCGTATGTAAAAATTTAATTGTTTAGCCACGTTTATGATACACGACCGCCTGTTGAATTGAGAGAGAGAGAGACAGACAGACAGACAGAGAGAGAGACAGAGAGACAGAGAGACAGAGAGACAGAGAGACAGAGACAGAGAGAGACAGAGAGAGACAGAGAGAGACAGAGAGAGACAGAGAGAGACAGAGAGACAGAGACACAGAGAGAGAGACAGAGAGAGACAGAGAGAGACAGAGAGAGACAGAGAGAGACAGAGACAGAGAGAGAGAGAGACAGAGAGAGAGAGAGAGAGACAGAGAGAGAGACAGAGAGAGAGACAGAGAGACAGAGAGAGAGA